AAAGTCTCAATAGAAACTAAAATTATTGAAATCGGCAAGATATATCGATGGAGGTGTGGGTGTAGATGGAAACAATACTATAACCGACACCATGCCATGCCTATACCGACCACACCCTAATTTACCCTCATGTTTTTGTTGTTCTGATGAAGACTTTTCTTCAATTTGTTTTCAGACGAATTGCCATACACAATCATAGGATTTTTCATTTAAATCATTGATTGTTGATAAATCACGTGAAGACATTCCTTATGATATATAAATATCAATTAACCAATTTTGACATTTTGTTTATCATTCGAAGATGAACTTTGTTTTGAATAAATTTAATAATTTCAATGGAATATGATTATCGAAATTTTATTGTTCATATATTAATTCTTTATACAATTTTCCTTGGTCATCGCTGAATGTATATTAAAACAAAAAAGAACGAAAGTTAAAAGAAAATTGTTTATTTACTTTGAGATTAAAAAAATTTCTCAATAAATGATGTAATTATCTTTAAAGCTAGTCTAACGTTTACTTTAATATTGATATCAGACTTCAAACTATTTGATTAACTTTTAAACATTTCAAACAGAGAAATAGATATCGACTTGTAGATTTCGTTCCATGAATGTTATCCATATCTGGCATAATGAGAAATTTTGACTGAAGAAGAGATAACTTATTTCAATGTAGAAGTCTTTACTAAATCTCTATGAGTCAAGCTTAGAAAACTAACTAATCTTTGCTTTTCTCATCTTTTTATAATAACAATTTGGACTAATTAAATTGATTGTGTCTGATCGCATTGACTATTTCAAGTCAGTATTGTTTAGTTGTTCTTAAATATGCCCTCGTAACGATTGACCTGATGGATTCATAACTATTTCCATTCTTCGGCCAAATATATTGAAATTAATTGAGTATTTAGGGGTGCAACAACTATAGAAGGGTGTGGGTGTGGGTGTGGGTGTGGGTTTAAGTGAATAGAATTATACACCGACAACCATACCACCCACACCCACACCCACACTCACACCCACACTCACACCCTCCCACATCCACACCCTAAAACTGTCATCTGAACTATTGGAGACAATTAACATACTTGATGGTGATGATGTTATGCTTTTACTAGCATTAATTACTTCATTCGGTGATAATCTACAATCTGTACTACGAATTGCAAATGTGTCAACTGGTGATACTGATAAACTTTCAAAAATATTTGTACTATCAATAGTTGATCGATTACGAGATACTTGAAATATCTTTTGTATTTCGTTCTCTCTTTCATTTTCATTTTCATATTCGATACATTTTTCATCAATGACTAGTTTCCCAGTCTCAGAATCTGTATCAGAAAGTGAATCATTTTCTTGAATATCATCATCTGATTTTTTCTCTACTTCAACATCTTCCATATTTGCATCATGTTTCTCTATTAATAAAAGAAAACAGCTTCGACTTTAATTTTGAAACAACATACCTGCACAATCAAACTTTTCTTCAGCAACGGTACTTGTATCAATGACACCACCAACCACCATATTCGAACTCGCCATCGAACTGTTTGTAGTAGAAACATAATCACGATTAGCAGTTGGCCGAAAATAATAATTTTTCTTTTTCTCAACAACGCGATGTTCTCTTGATTTTGTTAAAATCAGTTTTCTTTTTGTCATCGGTATTGTTTAAAAACAATATCTATCTAAAATAATGGTCGTGAATGTTCGATATACCAAAAGAAATTTATGCCGACAACGCTATGTGATATTAAACGATAATGAAAAAACCCACAAAAATTCTATTCACTAACAAACGAACATTAACGCATCGGTGATATCTGTGAACCAATCAGTGGCATTCAGAGTAGTAAAACACTGTTAAGATAAGATACACACAGACGCTACACACAAAATTATATGTATCTTATATTAGCTAGTTTTGACTAATATAATCACTCTCCATTCTTTATTCGCATCTATCCAGAAATTGTTTGATATTTTGAAAATGTATGCAACAAGGTTTTATTAGTTGATTTGAAAGATATTTAAAAAAAAGATGCTTATGAAAGTTAGGCAAATAGTAAAGTCGAATTAGACATTTTTTTTCGATTTAATTGGTTATTTATTGTGATCTTTGGAAAGTGAAAAATTTTCAATATGAGTTGAAGGAAGATTTCTTTCTAGAGCGACGAGAATAAAACGTACTTCCAAATAAAATTTCTATCTATCATTTTGCAAAAATGTGGTTAACTTTGCACATAAAAGAAACTAACGTACTCTTAAAGAAACGAAAAGCTCTTTGAAATATGTGTCCATGTTAAATTTAATTTTTACTGACTTAGTTATATCTTCTTGCAAATAAGATTTTTTTCATGCTAATAAAAGACGCATTGTCTCATAGATTATTTTATAAAAAGTTGATTTAAAAATTTTTAAATCGACTGACTAAGTATGAGTTAGACCGGCAATTACTTCTCAAAATGATATATCAGCAAGACCAATCCTTTTAGTTTTGTTTACAATATTTCTCTGTTGTGAGACTTGCTCGAAAAAAACAATTTGATAGTAGAAAATATGCGTAGTTAGTTATATGAAAAGAGATCAAATTCTCATAAAAAGTCTCATGCTATAAATTAATGTCTTGAATTCGAACATTTACAACTTTTGCTTATGAAAGTTCTTGTAATTGAAACAAATAAAAAATGATCTTCGTCAAATTGTAGAGAGTAAATTTTTCATTCAATCAAGTATTTAGTGAATTATAAAAGTTCATTTATAATATTTCCGAAACAAAACTTTTCCTTTATTGTAATATTTTCTATTTTTGTAACCAATAAAAAGACAGAAACAAGATAATGAAATTTGTTAAACTGTAATGCATTATAATGCATTGAATATAATGAATATGATAAGATCATTCTAACGGTAAAATCCTAGAATAAATTATAGATAATCAACAACATCATGTCTTTTTATTGTAATGCATTATAATGCATTAGCAATAATCAAAACGATCATATTGTGCAAATTTTAATGAATACTAATGTATTGAACATATTAAATATATCACATTGTAACATTCTAGCGCATAACAATACATACCGATATATCAACAGATTCATAGAGTTTTAGCTGTAATACATTGTCATGGACTAGACATACTCAACATCATCACATCCTTTCACTGTAACTCGTGATAATACATTGGACATTAGCAACATGATCATAACCCTTTAATTGTAACACAATACTATATATTAAATATATTCGACATCCTTATTTTGTTTAATTGTAACGCATTATAATACATGAAATGGAATTAACAAAATCAAATTATTTCACTATAAAGCATTAGGACGCATTAAAAATAAAAATCATCATCATCATACCGTTTTAAATGTAATACTTAATAATGCATTGAACATAATCAACAAGATCATATAGTCTCACTCGATTTATTCCTCAGTAGCGATAAGACGTATTTTCTCTTGCATTTCTGCTATATTATATCTCTATTAACCACTCATCCTTTTCGGTTATATGGCCAAGACAAGTGGATCTCAAGAAGAGATCCAACTCATAAATGATAATACAGATTTTGGTTATTGGTACAATGAAATGAATAGTGATGATCAATTTGTACGTTACATGGCAGAAATTTACAAGAAACAACACCTGGATATATACATGAACCAACAACAAAATAAAACAATGACTCATCATACACGCTCCACTGCCCAATCACCATCAAGTCGACTACAAGTAACAAGACAATTACCACAGCTAATGGACCATCCAATTACATTCGATCACATTCAAGAAATACATCGTCATCATCATCACCAGAACCAGATACCAAAGACATCTATAATTGATCGGCATACACGATCAAGCCCATCTTCAACAAATCCTCAAATTTCATCAACACCACGACGACCATTAGAAGAAAGTGGATCCGAAAATCAATCTCAAAGACAAATAAAGAAGTCAAGACCTCATGAAACTACACCATCAGCTCCTTCACAAATATCAACAATAGTTAAACCATTTCATCTACCAACAGCACATCTTAAACGAGCAGTAGCGAATAATCTACCTTGCTTCTATATAAAATTTGATAGTAATATAACTCAATGTAGTATACCACCAGCCATGAAAGTGGCAAGATGGATTCGTCAAACAGTCCAACAAGAATCATCTGAACCAATAGGAGACTTTTCAATACTGATACCTGTTGGCACAAATCGATACAAATTTGGTGTAACATCAAAAAATGATTTCTTATTACTTTGGAACTGTAAGTGGCCAAATGAAATGGACAACATTGATGTTGAAATACAACGACCTCGTTCTCTACCTGATTGTTGTGCACTGGTAGTGCGCTACGCACTAGCTGATCTATCAAATGAATTCGTCTATCGAGAAATTACTAAATCAATTAGCTCAGCAAGTTCCTTCTCAAAAATCAACTACCATCGACCCAGATCAACAAATGATTATAGATTTTGTGTAGCCGATGCAAATGAATATGAAGAAATCTGAAAGATCGGTCGTATAGCAATCGGACATTTACTTCTTCCAATAACTGCATTTCTTCCTGGTCTAAAATTAACTTACTGCTCAAACTGTTGGATGATTGGTCATACTAAAGCTGAATGTAAAATTAACCCTCGATATAGTAAATGCTTAGATAATTGGGAGTTTAATCATCACTGCCAAAAGCCAATATAATGTGCTCAATGTGAAGGTCCACATTTATCAATAAGTATCGAATGTCCAGTGGTTTACAATTATCGTATAACATTAAAAGATCAAGTTAAAAAAGCTATTAATGATGGATTAATAAGTCAATCCAGCATCAACCAAAAACGAGAAGCTGCTCGCTATGTCGAAAATGTAGGATTGGAAACAAAACAAATAAATGGCGCTAAACAAGCATGGGGACGTCAATTAAAATCAACAGATAGGCTACAAATTCAACCTGAAAAAGAAAATGATCAATTAGGTGAGCTAGTATGTCGAACTAAACATGTTTTAGATATAATACACCGGATGGAATTGAAAATGGATAACCAGGTTTTAAAAATTGATATGTTAGAAAGAAGATCTGTATTAAATAAGGAAAGTTTGATTGACCTAGCAAAGATCACTCAACAGCTCATCAATATAACATTAGAAAAGAAAAACAAGCAACAATTGCAAAGCTTAGTACAACAACTAGAAGTATTGAAAAAGAATGTAAGTGAAAAGTTTAATGCTATCACAAATGACCAACAACAACAACAAACACCAACATCTCCGTCCTTACAACCCAGCAGTAACAAAATACAAACTAAGTCAACAACTTTCAATAACACTGCGAACTACGACGGAATGGAACAAGATTCACCAATAAATAACGTAAATGGGTAGTAGTTCCTTGTCATATTCTATGAACATTGATGCATTTCCTTTTTTCCTCTTCCCTTGTTGATGTTAAAAGTAAAGTGATTCGAAAAGTCATAAACTGGGGCTTTTCTTTCAAAGTTGTGCAATATGTCAGCTCGATAATGAGTGAGTGGTTCTCAGGTAACACTCTTAATAGAATTCTTAGTTTATGGGAAACACCAACCAATCATCATAACTGCTAACAAAACTCATTGAACATACTTAATTATAATGTACAAGGATGGGGAACCCGAGCACTAGAAGCAGTGGAACTTATTTTTAACTCTGACAACTCTATAGGAATATTCACGGAAGTAGGAGAGTTATGGAAAGATGTTACCAGCCCTCATTTTAAGAGCTTCTATCAGAAAGGTACCAATAACAAAGGAGGAGTAGTTGTAGCAGTTGAAAAATATCTCAAAGCAACACGTATTGATACAAACATAGATAACACTGTGATTGTAGACGTAGAAGGCCTAACGGAACAAATTAGAATTATTGGAATTTATTGGCCCCAATGTCAGCACAGAAATTTAGAAGATCTTACGTCATTCATAGCTGAAAAAACTATCCTAACTGGAGATTTTAATGCCTCAGCACAAAAATGGCAAAGTCCGACGACAGATGCTAGAGGTAATCAATTAAAAAAATGGATAGAAAAGAACAATTTGTTGTTCATACCTGGAACGAAGAGTTCATCTAAAAGATCAGAGAGACATATTGACCTCATTTTTACAAACATAGAGGACGCTGAAGCGGAAACACTTAACACAGGAACGAGCGATCATTGGCCCATAGTTATGAAAAGTGATCGAATAGGATTTCAAACGGATCGCGTTCACTTGGCCGACAATCACTTGGCAGACATATCACTTGACCGACAAATTGTTTGGCCGACATGTACACTTCGCCGACAACTCATTTGGCTGACAAATATTTGAGGTCAAAAAAATTGAAATTTCTTGAAAATATTGCGTGGATTTTTCCCACGCATTCACCTATAAATAGTGAGCATTTTTCAAAATAAAATCAGACGACAATTTTTTATCAGTTAAAACAAGTCTCCCGCTAACAAACTGTTACCCGTGAGATAAGTTCGATTTTCTTCGGAGCATTGCCCATAATCTTTCATTATAAATATTTGTGACTTTTAATAAAAAGATTTTCTGACGCAATATTTTCAAGAAATTTCATTTTTTATGACTTCAAATATTTGTCGGCCAAATGAGTTGTCGGCGAAGTGTACATGTCGGCCAAACAATTCGTCGGCGAAATGGTGTCGGTCAAGTGATGTGTCGGCCAAGTGATTGTCGGCCAAGTGACCCGGACCCATTTCAAACGAAGGGAAATTTTCCCGCAGTCAATTGAACAGTGTTTCAAATTGTTTTAACACTACTGCAAGACTTTTGGATAAAAGAATCAGAAATACAAGATGCAGAAAATTGGTACTTGAATTACACACTTTTCCTGTAGCTCTGAAAAATAGAGTAACCAAGTGGAGAAACAGGAATAGGTATCGCCCTTCGTTACCATCTTATATTATAGGTATGTTAAAGCAAGTTCGTCGAGTTAGAAATAAGTACTACCGAGAAAGGAAAACAAATTTCGGCGTAGAAGTAGAAAGAACTAGATTATGATTAAGAACACTAACCAGACAAGTGAAAAATGAGATGTACAGCTATAAATCGGAACGATGGAACGCCTTCCTATCCACTATTCAGGAATTTCACGATAGAAATGGCAAACATTTTTGGTCGCATCTATCGAAGATTTACAAATCGAAAACATTACCAATCTCAAAATTAAAAGCAGGTTCGATTACGATTGCTGGCCAACAAGAAATAACAAATATGCTTTACAATTATTATAAGGAACAAGCAAATAGTCCTAATATAGATGAAAATGAACAACATGATCAGAAAATTGTATGTGACTATAACAAAATCATGAATACCTTATCCCAATCACCAGATATCAATGTCGAAAAAGTAACATCATCAGAAATAACGAAAATTATTAAAAAATTGAAAAACAAAAAATCATCGGGGTATGATCAGATATCTAACTNAGCCAATATAATGTGCTCAATGTGAAGGTCCACATTTATCAATAAGTATCGAATGTCCAGTGGTTTACAATTATCGTATAACATTAAAAGATCAAGTTAAAAAAGCTATTATGATGGATTAATAAGTCCACCCAGCATCAGCCAAAAAAGAGAAGCTGTTCGCTATGTCGAAAATGTAGGATTGGAAACAAAACAAATAAATGGAGCTAAACAAATAAATGGAGCTAAACAAGCATGGGGACTTTAATTAAAATCAGCAGATAGGCCACAAATTCAACCTGAAAATGAGTTAGTATGTCGAACTAAAGATGTTTTAGATATAATACGCCGAATGGAATTGAAAATGGATAACCAGATTTTATAAATTGATATGTTAGAAAGAAGATCTGTATTAAATAAGGAAAGTTTGATTGACCTAGCAAAGATCATTCAATAGCTCATCAATACAACATTAGAAAAGAAAAACAAATAACAATTGCAAAGCTTAGTTCAACAACTAGAAGTATTCAAAAAGAATGCAAGTGAAAAGTTTAACGCTATCACAAATGATCAACAACAACAACAACAAGAAACACCAACATCTTCGTCCTTACAACCCAACAGTAACAAAATACAAACTAAGTCAACAACTTTCACTAACACCGCGAACTACGACAGAATGGAACAAGATTCATCAATAAGTAACGTAAATGGGTAGTAGTTCCTTATCATATTCTATGAACATTGATGCATTTCCTTTTGTTCCCAACCCTTATTTCCTTTTTTCCTCTTCCCTTGTTAATGTTAAAAGTGAAGCGATTCGAAAAGTTATCGACTGGGACTTTTCTTTCAAAGTTGTGCAATATGTCAGCTCGATAATGAGTGAATGGTTCTCAGGTAATACTCTTAATAGAATTCTTAGTTTATGGGAAACGCCAACCAATCATCCTAAATGCCAGCAAAACTCATTGAACATACTTAATTATAATGTACAAGGATGGGGAACCCGAGCACTCGAAGCAGTAGAACTTATTTTTAACTCTGACAGCTCTGTAGGAATATTCACGGAAGTAGGAGAGTTATAGAAAGATGTTACCATCCATCATTTTAAGAACTTCTATCAGAAAGGTACCAATAACAAAGGAGAAGTAGTTGTAGCAGTTGGAAAACATCTCAAAGCAACACGTATTGATACAAACATAGATAACACGGTAATTGTAGATGTAGAAGGACTAACGGAACAAATTAGAATTATTAGAATTTATTGGCCCCAATACCAGAAAAGAAATTTAGAAGATCTTACATCATTTATAACTGAAAAAACTATCCTAACTGGAGATTTTAATGCCACAGCGCAAGAATGGCAAAGTCCGACGACAAATGCTAGACGTAGTCAATTAAAAAAATGGATAGAAAAGAACAATTTTTTGTTCATACCTGGAACGAGGAGTTCATCTAAAAGATCAGAGAGACATATTGACCTCATTTTTACAAACATAGAGAACGCTGAAGCGAAAACACTTAACACAGGAACAAGCGATCATTGGCCCATAGTTATGAAAAGTGATCGAATAGGATTTCAAATGAATAGAAATTTTCCCGTAGTCAATTGGACAGTGTTTCAAATTGTTTTAACACTACTGTAAGACTTTTGGATAAAAGAATCAGAAATACAAGATGCAGAAAATTGGTACTTGAATTACACATGTTTCCTTGTAGCCTTGAAAAATAGAGTAACCAAGTGGAGAAACAGGAATAGGTATCATCCTTCGTTACCACCTTATATTATAGGTATGTTAAAGCAAGTTCATCGAGTTAGAAATAAGTACTACCGAGAAAGAAAAACGAATTTCGGCGTAGAAGTAGAAAGAACCAGATTATTATTAAGAACACTAACCAGACAAGTGAAAAATGAGATGTACAATTATAAATCGGAACGATGGAACGCCTTCCTATCCACTATTCAGGAATGTTACGATAAAAATGGCAAACATTTTTGGTCGCATCTATCGAAGATTTACAAACCGAAAACATTAGCAATCTCGAAATTAAAAGCAGGTTCGATTACGATCTCTGACCAACAAGAAATAACAAATATGCTTTACAATTATTATAAGGAACAAGCGAATAGCCCTAATATAGATGAAAATGAACAACATGATCAGAAAATTGTATGTGACTATAATAAAATCATGAATACCTTATCCCAATCACCAGATATCAATGTCGAAAAAGTAACATCGTCAGAAATAAAGAAAATTATTAAAAAATTGAAGAAAAAATCATCGGGGTATGATCAGAGATCTAACTATATAATCAAACTACTCCCGCCAGCATATATTGATTGCATACTTAAATGTTTCAATGTTTGGCTGAGCAAAGGTCGGTACCCGAATTTTTGGAAGCTAGGAAAGATAATTACATTGAACAAACTTAATGCCGGTGTACCGCGAACTGACCAGACCCGACCAATCTCGCTTTTGGCAACACACTCGAAGTTTTTTGAAAAAGTACTTCTGGAAAGAGTAAGCAATTGGGCTGAAGGAGCATAGTTAGTGCTGATTGAACAATCAAGTTTCAGACAGGGAGGACTGCTAGCAACCAGAGTTCTCTCAATTTATCAAGAAATCCAAAATAACCTAGCAACAAACATGCCAACGCTCGCCCTGTACGTAGACTACCGTAAAGCGTATGATATGGTATGGCACGCTGGCCTGTTGGTGAAACTGCACGATCTAGGCATGATCATAGCACTATTGAAAATGACGGCTTCCTGGTTAGGGAATCGACAAGCTTACATTGCGTTAGGAGACAAAGTATCCGAAAAGTACAAGATCAATATTGGACTACCACAAGGAAGTAGTCTAAGCCCATTTCTTTTCATAGTCTATCACTGTGATCTAATACAATGTCTCGGTGTCCATTCAGGTCACATGTTTGCTGACGACCTCAGCGTACTCATAAAAGTACCAATTACGAAATGCCGCAATCATAAGCTATCTGGAAAAAGAGGGCACAGAAGTGTGCAGCAAAATAGCAGCTTACGCAAAAAAATGGAAACAACCAATCAACGTGCAGAAAACAGTAGGTCAGCTTTTCTACAAACAGATCAAACGACCCGAAATAAAGATACATATGGAGGGACATCAACTAGAAATAGTTAACACATTCAAATATTTAGGATTTACATGGATGAGCAAAATGACATTGAAATCTACAATCGGTCTTTGTCTAGAAAAAATGGAGAAGACCTTAGTCAAATTGAAGTGGTTGAATAAAGGTAGAAAATTTTCGGTTCACGTTTTAAGAAAATGTTTTTTTACTTATGTCTTTCCACACGTTTGCGTGGATTTTCCCCTTCTATCCATTTCTCCCGAAAACACACAAAGAATCACTCAATAGGAAATTTAGAGTTGCTATTAGAATAGTACATAGATGCCCTTTTATTTTTGCAGAAGACTTATTCACACTAACGAATGAAAATCAAATGGAAGTGTACGTTAGAAGATATATAAACAAAAGATTGCAAAATATCTTCAAGACAGACCCAGGATGCTCAAGCTTTCCTGAAGGATATATTTTATTGGGATGGATTTCAAAAAAAAAACTCGTTAGGACATTTCTTCAGACAAAAAAGAGTGAAAAACTTAATTAAGAGACACGAGACATTACTGATTAAATGGTTGAGCTTTATATAAGAATAAATGATTTATCATACCCTACACGGCACTATATAAATTTCAACAATTTGGAACACGGAAATTGGAATGCTACGGATTGGCCCAACTATGGCAATTAAACTTACACTTGTTCATTTTTCCCTTCCTATGTAAGCATTCCATAGTGTAACATAAATAAACAAAGCATAAATTAAAAAAAAAATTAAAAAAAAGTAGGTAATGCGCACTTGAAAATGATAAAATAAAGTTTCATTATATTTTCAAAAACATCTATGTGAATTTGATTATATTGATATACTAGTGAATTAGCACGATTTGTATCTAAAAGAACCACTTGATACAGTTGTACATACAATAAATGATAAGCTTGTATCACCATTGGAAATACTTAAACGTCGTTGTGTACCTGTTCATCGTTTACTTCAACATAATCAACAAAAGATTCATTCAACTGTTCAAATTATTCAACAACGATCTGATTTAAATCATAATGATGATCATCATTATCATGGAAATCATGCTGAAATTATGAGTCGTGTAGATGATTTTAATCGTCAACAAACAAAAGATGATGCAAAGTTATGTTCAATGTTAAAAGAAGGTCATGCATATACACAAATCAAATTTATTCAACAAGAACATGTCAAAGATTAAATTGATCATTCATGTGAAGCTGTACCATCAGCTAATACGACACGTCATAAAGATTGATTTCATTCAATATCATTATATATCAAACGAAATGCACTTATTACAAATAAAATACTTGACCAAACTAAACAATTAGCCTGGGTTTTAATAGGTCTTGCTAATCATGTTTTTAAAATACCTATTGACACATTACATCTTTATAGAGATATTGATGGATGTAAAATTAATATCACAAATCTTTTGAATAATTGAAATTTATTATATTTATCCCTGTTAGCTCATATTACATTTAATGATCGTCGCGTATTATTCTTTAATCTTCGTGATTATAAACAAGTTTTTGTTGATAAAATTCAGCCCTATTTACAAACAGCATCACTATCAATATATATTATAATGCTTTTTATTTCATTGAGAAGTGTGTGGTACATCCTTACGCTTCAGTGTCATGGACGAGCGTCGTCCCTGTGACCAGAAAAAACCCACAAATTAAACATTTGATTTGGTTACAACTAACAGTTCTAAAAAAAATGGTTGATATCACATTAACATTAGATTCTTAACAATAAAAAAAGAAGAAAAGAGGAAAAATGAAAATGACGTATACAATTGAATAGGTTTACCAAAAGGAAAAGAGACATAGATTGAATGAAAAGTTTCTATTAGTACAGATCAGAAAAATATATACGTTTGTCAGTTAACATCAATAACAAGATTTTATAGTAACATAGGTGTACTACAATATAATTAGAAGCAAAAAGTACAATCAAATAAAGAGATTTTGGGTTCGTTGATTAAACTATTTATTTTCTTACTCGGTCTTCCTTTTTCGACTATTGTTCGTTTTTCTTTCAGCAAATTTGGATTTTTATAGTATTCCTGTATGTAGATCAGGTACATTTTATGTTGAATAAAGTCGTCGATCACCGAAGGGTTAGTTCGGAGAATCGTGACGATGAGCTTTCACCAGTGAATCTGGGTTAGCTTGTCAACTGTTTTGTACTTACAAAAATTGGAAACTTCAATGTTCGTTGCATCATGCCATCCAACATCACTATCAATATCAATAATACATAGCATTCTCAATTTTTATTTTATATTGACATGTCATGAACTTGCACATAATCTTGAAATAGCACATAATTCTAATTTTATTAACCATTTAGAAACAATAGCAGTTAAACTTATGACAGAAAAAGATTTATTCCTGCAGCAGTTTTCATTTCAAATTATTTACAAAATAATTTTATTTGAATGAAATTTTGTTGTTGTTGTTGTTGTGTAATAGTATATATAAATAAAGATATTCTATATATATATATATGTCTTATCGAATTTACATCGGTCGACCAAGTTATAACTTCGTTGCTCAGTGTTACTGCGATACGACATATATATCTTACTTGTATAAATCTTTTTATATATTTTTTGCTTTTTGTGGATANTTTGAATTCACTTATCAATAAATAATTTATTAAACTGAGTATTCTACTGTTGAATATATGATCAAAAAATAAAATTTTTACTAATAATTGTTCATTTATTCCACAATATTATTAAAAATAACTTCGATAAGTATGAGCGTCGAAGTTATAACTTCGTTGACCGATGTAAATTCGATACGACATATATATTCGACTTGTTTAAATCGGTTAATATATTTTTCGCATTCGATCGATATTCTATTCAATAATGAATTTATATATGAAGCGATATTGAATGTATCTCTTAATACTAATATTGTTCTTATATATAATTTATTATTAATTTGATAATTGTATAAATCAAGAAATAAAATCTAAATGATATGATGATAATGAATCAGCTTCGAGTGGCATCTATCATTGTATAAAATGTCATATCAGAAATAAATATTGGCTTTTTTCCTCCCGTTCGTTATTTACTACTGAATCATCAAAATAAAAGTAGATGACGTTCTTTCAAATCTCTTGATTAATATGAAATATTTTTATTTCTTTTAAAAGTTGAATCACCTATAATAATATAATATGTCGAATCTAAATTTAAAACGTAAATTAGATTCATCTAATGAAATTGATTCAGTACCAAGTCGTTCTCAAATTTTAAATGATAAATTATCACGTCGTCCTGATCGTCATCAATTAGTTGAACAAGGAATCTTACATGATTCTCAATGTGCACCAAGTCTTCAACATGCTGAACATGCTCTTAAACGAGCTCGTCTTGCTGATCAATTAAATAATCGTCTTGTTAATCGTCCTGGTCCATTAGATTTAATTCAACATAATATTCTTCATATTGATACAAAAGAACATCCAAATTTAGAACAAGCTATTCAAGGTTATTTATTAATTAAAAATTAAATTAATTATTTAATTAAAAATTTTAGGTGGTCAAATTCCATTTAATACAACATCATTATATCATCGTCCACTTATATTTCATGAATATACTGGTTCACCATTATCATCAAAACCAAAAGTAACAAAAATCGATTCACTTTCATCATCTTCTAATGCTCATCAAATACGATTAGCACAACAACAACTTCTACTTGAATTAACATCAAATAAACAAGAAGAACAACAGTCATCATCATTATCATCATTATCATTATTACATAAAAAAACACTCGAACAAATGACACTTGTTGAACTTCGTGATTTATGTAAACAATATCAAATTCCATCATCTCATATTAATAAAACAAAATTAATCGAACGAATTAAACAAGTACAATACAAAAATAATGATCAAGGTAATTTAACTTTTTTTTTCTTTTAATATATAAAACAAATTAATTTACTTATTAAAATCAATAAAAAATATATAATTTAGAACTTTTCAATCTAAATTTTAAGCGTATTATCTGTTAAGTTATGAAAAATTAGTTCAATGCGATTGTTAAGTATATTTGAGAATTTTCATTGAAAAAAATAATAAATCAAATTTGTTTTTGAACGAATGAATTTGTATAGCATAACATCGAATGAAAAAGTTATTTTATTTACTTAATAGATGAAATAATAGATCATCAAAAATCAAACAAGATCAAATATTATACATTATACATTAATTTATTTTTATTTATAAACAATTAGAAAGTATTATTTTACTTTTTAGAATTTAAAACAATTTTATTTAAATCACTTCTATAGCTACTGCTATTGACATGAAAATCTCTCGAATTTATTGAAAATTTTTTATCTGATATATTTAACTTTTGTATCATTCGAAATATGACAATAAAAATGACTGATTATTTCTTGATATAGTAAATTTTTAACAAAATTTTATTTTCGTAACGCATTTCTCAATAAAATATGTTACTGAAAGAGTCAATGTTTCAATAAATAAACATTTGTTTTGATTTTAATATTAAGAGTAATAAAAAGATCATGAGATTTATAGATGAGCAAATATTTTAGATTGAAATTTTTCGATAAATCTCTTGTTATATTAAGTGATAAACCTATTTTAAATGATTATCATTCAGCAATAATCATATATGGATTATTATTATTTTAGTCTTTTTCTAATTAACTTTCATTAAATTCTACTTATGTCAAATATATCAGACGAAAAAATTTGAATCAGTTCAAACAATTTTCTCCTCAATAGTATTAAATATTTTATTTAAATAAAATAGTCTTTAATTATAAAAACTAAAATAATACTTTATATTTATTTATAAATAGCAGTAAACTAGTGTAACTAGTGTATTATATTTGAAATATTTGATCTTATTTTATTTTTGATTACATATTATTTCATCTATTAACTAATAAAATAATTTTCAATTCGATGTCACGCTATACAAGTCATCCATACGAAAACAATTTTGATTAAATTCCTTGATAATAATTTTCGAGTTCACTTAACAGTCGAGTTCAACTAATTTTTCATAACTCAACAAGAAATACGTTTAAAACTTAGTTTGAAAAGTTTAAAATAATGTCGATTAAAATTCGAATTTGAAATCTAATAATGAAATATTGATTGATGCGCCGAGTATAAAGATGGTTGTCGATGATCTGTTAGAATTTCTTCTTTGGTTTTTTTTTGAGTTTGATGAATTTATTATGATGATAATGAAGATTGTTCGAGTGATATATAGATATTGACTGAGTATTGACAACGGTCCTATGGTCTAGCGGTTAGGACATTGGACTCTGAATCCAGGAGCCCCAGTTCAAATCTGGGTAGGACCTTTTTTTTTTCTTTCTTTCCTTTGAGTAAATACTCACGCGTCACGCGTAGCATGAATAAGAAGAGGAAGAAGAAGAAGAAGAAGAAGAATGTGAAAAGGCTTTTTATTCTCGTTCTGTTTTTTTCTTTGTCTCTGATTCTCTTTCTCTTGATGAAAGGATTCTTTTCTTATTTATAGTAAAATTTATAGCTAAAGAATTCTATTAAAACTTAACAAATTTATTGTTTTTTTCCATATATAGATTTATCATTATCAAATGGAAATTCGAATGAATTATCAAATGTCGATATAATCGCATCATTAGAAATATCGAATTTAAATGAAGGAGAAATTGAACCATTATCAACATCAGAATTAGATGAAATTCTTAAATATTTTCCAACAACTTCAATTAGTCAAGAAGAAGAACAAGAAGAATCGTCAAATGTTTTAATTGATTTTGATTTTAAAAATTCGTTAATTGATTGTCAAACAATAAATAATGATGATTTATTTGTACAAATGTTACTTGATAATGATTATTCATCATCATCAACAACAGAAACAACATTTGATGATTTATTTTTATCAGATATTTTACCGTC